TTTTAGTTAATGATACCTGGACTTGAAGGAGCACTTTTATTAATATCATCACTATGTTGTGTATTTTAACTAAAGACGCCATTCCTAATTGGAATAATTATATAATAATACGCCTCTGCTGGATATTTCACATTAGTTAATGACGCCGCCGCTAGATGGAACATTTTAGTTAACAACGCCTCGACTAGATGGAGCACTATTGTTAATGTCATCACTATGTTGTGTATTTTAACTAAAAACGCCATTCCCAAATAAAATAATTATAATATAATACGCCACTGCTGGATATTTCACTTTAGTTTATGACGCCACCGCAAGATGAAATACTTAACTCAATGACGCCTCCACTAGATAGAGCAGTCTAGTTTACGCCACCACTGGGTGGTGCATTTTAGTTAAGGACGCCATCTCTAGATGGAACAATTATTTATATTTTCACAAATAATTACAATTATTATTAAATATACAAAATTAACAATATATAATTATTAATTAAAAATATAATTATAGTAATGTAGGACAATTTCGCTAGATAAAGTACATTAGTTACTGACGACACCACTAGATGGAACATTTTAGTTAATGACGCCACCGACAGAGAAAACCAATATAATTTAGGACGCTGCCACCGGAGGGATTAGTTTAATGACGCCATTCTTGGATCAAATTTTTTAGTTAATGACGCCAGCATTAGATGGCGAATGTAACCTTAATGAAACTATTAAGTAAAAATCTTCCCTTTGTTATGTTAAATAGTTCAGGACGCCACCGGCAGATGGTAGTAGTACTCTTTAGGAAAATATGAAATACAAAATATTAATAAATAAAAAACGAGTAGGTTAAAACGCTTTTGATATAAAGTGGCAATATCATTTTTGAAATAGTGAGGTATATTTAAAAATAAAATCGTTAAGTTAATGACGCCTTTGACAGATGACACTACTGTCTTTTTGAAACCTTAGGGGTTACATGGAACGGTTTAGTTAAAGACGCCATCGCTAGAGGGAACATTTTAGTTCAAGACGCCACCGATAGAAGGACCCATTATAGTTTAGGAAGCTGCCACCAGATGACGCCATTGTTAGATCAAAAATTTTAGTTAATGACGCTACCGCTAGATGGAGGTCATCACATCATCAGCTGTTGCAACGTTTTTAGTCTTACATTTTCTTGCAAATACAAAAAAAAAATGTTTTCTTCATTACAAATAAGGTCAAAGGAGAACAACTTTTTTTTTCCTAGTTCTCTAATACAAAGCGAGGCTAAGTTTCTCAAACGTAAGCGCCCAACTAAAGTAAACCATATATATGTACCAGTGAGTAGGAAACTCGTTGAAACTCTGGATGTGTACATTCAATAGATACAGACATATATGTCTACACATAAGTGTATAAGTGTACTTAGATGTTTATGTGTGTATGCTCACTTGTGCACACGTGCAAATGTTACGTTCAGAGTAAGTACACATTACGAAGTCAAAACCGCGGAAGCGGAACGCGTCGTAATTACGATTCGCCATCTCTCTCTCTCTCTATCCTTCTCTCTCTCTCTTCCTCATTCTAACCTGAATATTTTCTATCCTCACCCAATATAATGTTGAGCATGTGAAAACTGCACTGAATGCAAAAAATCTTTCGCGCTTTTTTTTGGTTCGTCCTTCCTTTTTTTTTAACAACACGCTCTCTTGCTAATGCGACGCACGTCAAACTACTTTTTTTTCTTTCTTTTATTTTTTTTTTTTCATGAAACCACTTTCAGGGGAAAATTTTTCGGCTTTGGAAACAAGATGGGTGCTTTCAAAGTAAAAAAAAAAAAAAAAAAAAGTAAAGGACGCTTTTAACTTTAAAAGCCCTAGAAGTGAATAGTTTTTTGAGTTTTAGGAAAGTTTCGATGAAAATAAAAAAAAGAAATGTTGTTTTCGACTATAAATAAAATGAGAGCATGAATATTTTGAAATTGGCTTATACAGAAAATTAATAATTGCAGGTGGAGGGTAAAATTAACTGTAAGACTGTTTATAGCACCATCTGGTGGTGACACGTGAGTAACCATGAACCTGTTTATGACGCTATCTATAATAGTGGCTCTCTATATATAGCAATGAAACCGTTATATTTTTGAGTTAAAATTATATATATTTCTGAATTTATGTATATACATATGTATGAAAATTAATTTGAATAATATGAAAATTTGTTGTTATTAATAATTATATTGAAACAGGAGAATGTTTTACACAGAGAGAGAGAGAGGGAGTATATTTTAGCTCTAAATAAAAGGATGTTTATTGGAAGTTGTGAGCTCAAAGGTTGATGGGTTGACGCTATTAGTGAAAGCCCACCCCACGGCCTTTAGAGACGGGGGAGGGTGGGGTTGGTTGAGAGATTATAAGCAGCCCGAATGACGACGATGTCGACGACGAAGCGCAAAAGCTCTGCCTATGCAGTTCGACAACGAAGAGCAGCTACGGCTTTAATCCATGCTGCCTGATTATAATCTCGTCAGCGAGTTATGCCCTCAGTCTCTCTCTCTCTCTTCCTAAAAGTAGCCCCTTGCCTCTCAAACCAAATTACTTCTACAGTCTCATCATCCCTCACCTCTCTCTCTCTCTCTCACTATTTCTCTATCCACCGGTCCAAACGCAGATTTAGCTCCTCTGAGAATCGAAGATTAGAAGAGACAGAATTGGATTGTGTCCTCGAGTCAGAATTACCATCAATCAGTTACCTTAATCACTATATAACAAGTGAATAAAGTTATAATTTTTCAATATTTGCAATTTTTCATCATTTCATTTAAAATATATTTTATTGAGAAATATTTTTATTCAATTTAGTTCGTTAACATAAAGAATTGTTGAAATAATAATTGACGAGAGTCAGAAGAAGAGATATAGTTGATGACGCCACCGCTAGAGGGTGTTCTTTAGTTAAAGACGCCACCACCAGGGGGCAGTGCGTTAAAGACACTGCCAATACAAAAAGTGCCACTGAATAAGACACCATTTTTTTTAACTTGTACATTTTTTTAAAACTAGGATTGTTCCGACTCGTCATTTATTATAATTCTCGTCACATACCCGCTGTAGTAAAAATTTAGTGATTTTCTAGTAACTTAATTTTAACTAGAATTTCACTTTTTCATTAGAGCAGAGTGAGATACTTAACCTAGAATTATGACAAATGGGGATTTATTTAAAAAAAAAAATATTAGATAAAAGAATTTTTTAATAAAAATGAGTATAGTTAAGGAGACGCCACCGACAAAAAGCGCCACTGTCTTCTTTGAAAATGTAAATTTTTTAAAATTATATTGAAAAGTTAGGAATGACACTAGCAGATGGCGTTAGTAACCATTTTGAAACCATTGAGTAAAATCTTTTAGGACGCCACCGGCAGATGGTAGCAGTAATCTTTTGGGAAATATTAAATAAAAATATTTCTAAATAAAGGCGAGTAATTTAAAACGCTGTAGATAAAATGTGTTACTATCATTTTTTTTTTAAATTGTGAGATTAAAAATATTTTAAAATAAAATTTTGTAAGTTAATAACGCCATTGACAGATGGCGCTACGGAGTAGTAAAGAACGCCACCGGCAGATGGCGATATTTTTTGTAAGGATTAATAAATATTTTTCTAAAGTGTGTAGTTATGGACGTCATAGGCAAAAGGCTTTAGTTAATGACGCCACCACCAGGTGGCGTGCTACAGTTAAAGACGCCGCCGCTGAAGAGAGCGCCACTTTTTCTAGGCACATGAAATAGAATAAAATATATAATATAAATTAATAAATCTCGATTTTCGATTGCTGACAATCGTTTCTCATTGATGTTATGAAGTTTAGGACGCCACCGTCAGATGTTACGCCTTAGTTGAGGGACGCCACCGCCAGGAGGCGCCAAACATGGACAAAATAATAAAAATCACCATGAATATTGTATTATATATAGATGTATAAAGAAAACTAAATTGTCTTGGAATATAAATCTCTTTTCACGAAGGCGGAACATTTTGAAAATTCATTACACAACTCGCTTGAGATTTGTAAGCGAGGCAGCGGCCAGAAGCGGATATTTGGGAGGGACGGAGAGAGGGTCTTTAATTTCCTTGTGAGCAGTAGCAGCAGCGTGATTTCGCGGAGGGTAGACGAGAGAGAGAGAGAGAGAGAGAGAGAGAGAAACGTCCAATTGAGAAGGGGAAATGGTTAAGGTCTTCTCTTCCATAAGGAGGGTTGGAAAAAGGAGGAAGTACGACGCTATATACTCTCGTTTATAATCCAAACTTTCTTGCGTCGAAATCCCCGCGGTTTTTTTTTCTTTCTTTTTTTGAATAATATAAAACCACCATATGATTGCTCAAAGGGTGTATATATATATAAATTGTGCTTTCGTGTTATAAACGGAAGGGCACAACTCTTGGCAAAAAAAAAAAGGGCGGGTTGGAAAAAAAGAGAAAAATAAGATAGAAGACAAAAGGAGCGAAAAAAAAGAGTCCATTTCGGCTAATGACGATGCTACCAGGGATTAAGTAATTTTTCTCAACTCGTAGAAAATAGGATTTTAGGGGTGGTAAAAGAAAAATGAGTCTTCACACTTTTCAAATTAATTTGGAATTTTTTTTTTTTTCTTTTAAACAATTGTAAAATTATTTAATAAAATAAAATTTATAAAATCTTGAATTTATTTGAAAATTAACTTTTTTTTTAATTTTGTTGAATTTTGAATAATTTTTTTTTTGCATTTGAAAACGTCTTTTTAATTTTCTAAATTGTATTTTCAAACGAAACATGATATTAGTTTTCTTTTTAAAAATTTTTATTCTCAAAAAAAAAATTCAAATATAATAACAATAGTAATTGACTAATTAATTTATAATAAATAATTAATAATTTAAGAAATTCTTTTAATTTCCTACAATTAAAAAAAAAATATTTATTTAATTTTTTTTCTGAGAAATTACGAAAAAGAAAGAAAAAAAAGACGATCTGTTTCCATGGTTATATTGTGGTAAATAATTGAGTGCTAGTCATTCAGTTATTCAGTGATCATTAGACGAAATAGAAACGTCAAATTGTAATTTACTGTGAAATTGAAATATTGTCAAAAAAGAAAAAAAATTTTTCCTTTTGTTTTTGAAAATAATGGCACGAACACCAAGATTAACAAAAATACCCGTCGATGAACGAAAATTGGCCGATTTGGTGAAAACAAAATCTGATTTATCAATTCGAGGTCAACGAGACGCTTGGAAAAAAATCGTTGAAGAACACGAGGCACCGGGTATAAAAAAATGTTTTTTAATTATTATTATTATTATTATTCTTTTTTTCTAATATTGAAACTGACTTCTTATAAATATTCTAATAAAAAATTATTTTCAATAATTTAGTAAAAAAAAAAATAATTTTTGTTTATTAATTTAATAATAAAAAAAATATTTTTCAGTTTAAAAAAAAATAATTTTTACTGTAAAAAAAAAAATTTATTAAATATTAATTAATTCAACTTGAATACAAATTTTTAATTTGAACATTTTTATTAAAAAGCAAATTTTTTTTGTACAAAAAAATTTATTTTTTAATAAAAATTGAATAAACAAAATTTAACAAGTTTTTAATTTAATCAGACTTTACCTCAAATTATTAAATTATCAGAAATTTTTTAATTCAACTATTTTTGAAATGAGATTAATTTTTAAATGAATTTTAAATTTCACTAAAGAGTTTATAATTTATTTACTTTTTAGTTTAACAATTTATTTTAATTAAACACAGTTTTTTAAACTAATTCTTTACAAAATATGGTTTTTTTTTTTTTTATTAAAACAATTACTTTTACTAACAAATTTTATCAACATAAATAAATGAATGATAAAATATAAATTATTGCAACAAATTTTATAATTAACAAAAGAAGAATTTAATAAAAAAAAAAAAAAAATTTTAATCCAAAAAATTCAATAATTTTTTATGTAAAATAATTATTTCTAATAAAACAAATTGTCAATTATTTTAATAAAAAAAAAAAAAATTATAAACCAATTTACAATTTTAAAAACTTGAAATTTGTTAAAGAATCAATTTTTACAATTATGAAAAAAGTTAGAAAAAAAATTTTTTTTTCTACAAAAAAAATATTAAACGAAATAATTGTGAATTAAACAAAAATTTTTTTTTTTGTAGAACGAGAATTATTTTATTTGAATTTAAAATTTCTATTTAACAAAACGTGAAAAAATAGGGAAAAAAAAAAAATTCGATTCTAGTTGGGATTTTATTTTTAAACATTTTTCAAATCCTTTTGATTTCCGGAAGAGGTTGAATCACGTTTCGTGCTTAATATTCTCATTTGAAATAAACTCCATCTGGGAACATAAACATAAAAAAAGAACATTTTTTTTTATGTGATCTTCGTTACGCGTTCGCTCATGTATTCTCCTTTCTATGGAATAATCCTTGACTTTATTTGGAAAAAAAAAATTATTCTTTTTTTTTTTTTTTTATTCCCACTATTACGTATCGTTCATCGTTGAATTCGTTTGCACCGGAAAGTCTACAGCGTTCTTTCAACACTGCAAGTTTGCATTTCGAGTTTTTTTTTTTTTTTTGTTATTATTTCTCTAGAGAAAATAGTATTAAAAAAAAAAAAAAAAGAAAAAAAAAGGGAGAGATCAGTCTGCTTATTGTACAGACGATGGTGAGTCAAAACAGAGAAAGAGAGAAAAAGTGGAAGGGAGGGGAATCCACACATAACTAAACGTATTTCGACCATAGAATGGCCAAATTTTACGCTTATCAACTTTTAGAGATTGAAGGGGTTTTGTTTTCATAATAAAAAAAAGGGAGAGAAAAAAAAATTCGCCAAAAACAAAGAATGAAATTACGGCTTGTAAAAAGCTTGAAAAATATCTCAAATGGAAAATTAGCTTCGTTAAAAAAAAAGTGAAATAATAGACTTCAATGAAATAATAATTAAAAAAAAGGGAAAAATTATTTATTCATTAATTAATAACCAAATAAATTATTTATTTTTATTTAAAATATAAAAAATAAATTTTCTAAAAATTAAATTTCTAATATTAATTTAAAAAAAAAATTAAATAAACAATTTAATTTAACAAAAATTAAATATAATTTATAAACAATATTAAAATTCACGAATTTTTTAAAATATGTTTAATTCGATTAAAAAAGAAAACAATTTAAAAAAAAATTTGAAACATTTTAAATAAACAATTATTATTTTTTTTTTTTGAAAATAATTATCTTTTTATTGTTATTATTTTTATATTATTATTAAAATAAAATGACAAAAATTATTATAAAACATAATTAATTAATTTTTGTAATAATTATAATTTGTTATTGACTAATTTGTTATTTCAAAAAAGAATTAAAAAAAAAAATTACAAATTTTTTGCAATAGAGGAAAATAATTTTAAATTAGAAAAATTTTATTAAATGACAAAAAAAAGAAATTAAATAATTTAATTATTTTTTTTTTTTATAACAGTTGAAGACGTAAAAAAAGCATGGTCAAAGCATCATGAAGAAGATGCTAAATTAAAGATGGATTTAAATAGAAGAAAGTCATTACGAAGCAATAGTGTTGACTTAACAAACGATCAACTAAAAGCAATGGAATTGCGCAGACGATCCTTAAGATCCAGTTCCATTGATAAATCCAGTTTAATTTCGTAAGTTAATTAATTATTTAGATTTCAAAAAAAAAAAAAATAATAATTTTTTTTTAAATTTCACTTAAAATGAAAATAAAACTATTTAAAAAAAAAACAAATTAATATTCCCATATTTAACATTGTAAATATTCTATTATTTATTTATTGAATAATAAAAATATTAATAAAAATTTGCATTTTTTTTACCAAAAATTATTATCAAAATATTTCACATATACTATAAAAAATATTTTATCAAATAATTTAAATTAAATTTCATTAATAATTAATTTTAAAAAAAAAACTTAGTTTTTAAATTTAAATTAAATAATAAAATTTACATTTACATTTTCAAATATATATATATATATATATATATATAGGTATATGTGTGTGTATATACATGTATATATCGATTCGCAGGAACTCCACTGAAAACAGTTGCGCGAGCAGCATCTGCAGCATTTCACCAAAGGGCGAGGACAAACGTTGCCTTCGTACACGATCGCAACTCGCGTCAATCACTGAAGCCAAATTAATGTCAATGGCCGCTGGTGATGCTGGAATTATGGAAATGTCAGGAATTTCAAAAGATTCAAAAATTCAGGACGCTGATGATGAAGAAATTCATGAATCAGATGAGGATGAGACACTTGTTCTTGAAATGACCCATCAAGAGGAAGATATTTCAGAAATTGTTACAGATGTTGTTGAACGGTACTTAAAATTTTTCCAACAATGACATTCATTTTTAAATTTTCCTTTTTTTTCCCCATTTATTTTGTTTTATTTCAATTTTTTAAACATTATCATTAACATAAGTAACATTAAAATTAGCAACATTGACTTTAGTAACATTAATATTACCAACATTAACATTAGTAAAAGTAATAATGCTAACACTAACATTAGTCACATTAATATTTTTAACAATGACATTAGTAACATTAGTATTAGTAACATTAACATTAATAACATTAACATCAATAACATTGACATTAATAGCATTAACATTAGTAACATTACCACTAGTAACATTATCACTATAAACATTAACATTAATAGCGTTAACATTAGTAACATTAATATCAATAACATTGACATTAATAGCATTAACATTAGTAACATTACCACTAGTAACATTATCACTATAAACATTAACATTAATAGCGTTAACATTAGTAACATTAACTTCAGTAACATTAACATTAGTAACATCAACACTAGTAACATCAACACTAGTAACGTTATCACTATTAACATTAACATTAGTAACATTAACACTAGTAACAAACACTAGTAACGTTATCACTATTAACATTAACATTAGTAACATTAACATTAGTAACATTAACATTAGTAACATTAACATTAGTAACATTAACATTAGTAACATTAACATTAGTAACATTAACATTAGTAACATTAACATTAGTAACATTAACATTAGTAACATCAACACTAGTAAGATTAACATTAATAGCGTTAACATTAGTAACATCAACACTAGTAACATTATCACTACTAACATTAACATTAGTAACATTAACATTAGTAACATTAACATTAGTAACATTAACATTAGTAACATCAACACTAGTAACATCAACACTAGTAACGTTATCACTATTAATATTAACATTAGTAACATTAACACTAGTAACAAACACTAGTAACGTTATCACTGTTAACATTAACATTAGTAACATTAACATTAATAGCATTGACATTAATAGCATTAACATTAGTAACATTGACATTAGTAACATTAACGTCAGTAACATTAACATTAGTAATTACATTAGCAACAATAATTGGCTAATAATTTACAAATTATTAACAGTATTCAACAAGACATTGACGAGGAGATAAAAAATCCATCACCACGTTTTTTCGAGGCAGTGCAAAATTTGAAAAAATCGCCAACTACTAATATTTCACCGAAACCAAAACCAATTGGAGTGAAAAATAATAATAATAATAATAAAATGAAGCGCAATTATATTGCTAATGATTCGACAAGGGCCTTTTTTGACAGTATGTCATTGACTGTTGCCAGTTTTCCCGTTCATCTTCAGGCTCAAGTGAAAATTCAAATTTGCAAAATTGTCGGTGAAATTGAATACGATTTGAATTTATCCAAAGCAAAGTGAATTATTTTTTTTTAAGAAAAAAAAATGAAGACATTTTTTGTTTTTGTTTCTATTTTTCGTGAATTGTATTCTATATTAGAGATGCTTTTTGAATCTTTTGCTTTTGAAATGAGCTAGCAAAAGTGACCTTGAGGTTTCTTGGAGTATTGCCAAGATTGTTCACTTTGTAAAGAAAAAAAAAAAACAGCAAAAAAAAAAAATAATTTTACTGAGGGATAATTTTAGATTACCGTTGGAAAATAGTTGATGATAATGATGAGAATGGGAAAAAAAAAATTTTTCCTAGGGACTTTTTTTTCTAAGGGAGAAAAATAATTAAAGAAATTTTCTCCTCTATTACGTTTAAACAGGAGGTGTCTAATTTTTTTTTCTTTTTACGTTTATTACTAATTGAAGTTTTTTTTTATCAGAATTTCGCTTTTCTTTTCATTATATTAGTTCTTATATTTTTTTTTGCGGAATTTCTCTTTTTTTTCTTCATTGTTTAGTTGCTCTAATTATTCTTTTTTTTCCGTTTTTTTTTCTTTTCCGTTCTTTTCAAACACAATTTTTTGTTTAATTTTGCAATTCGAAATTTTTGTTTTTAATTTAAACAACTAAAAATAGTAAAAAAAAAAATGGTACAATATTAAAAATAAATAATAGAATAAATTATTTCCCTTCTTTTCGATTATTTTAAAAGAAAAAGAAAAAATTGAAATATAAATTATTATTATTAGAAAAAAAAATATTTTTTTTTTTAAATATCAATTTATATTTAAATAACTAATGTCTTTGCGGTTAATGAGTTTTCGCTTGAAATCCATTTGTGATAATTTATCGCGCAAAGTTTATGTAATTGGACCGAGTTTTCGATTGTGTAAACATCTTTTTGGATAATTGTCTCGCGCGGTTATACGAAACAACAAAATATTCTAATTCTGTTTAACAATGCAGATATTCTGGCTCATGAGAGGCCGTAAATTATTGAGAACTGGCAAGCGTTCTCTAAAGGCTGATTCACTTAGCTTTAACATTTGTCTTCGCGTAGATACGATCCGAAGAGAGAGAAAAAGAGAGAGAGAGAGAAAGAGAGCGAGAGAGGATAAACTTTAATTAGCATTGGTTACATTTTAACTAACCCCAAAATCTAAATTTCAAAATTTATTTACAAAAAAAAGTAAATGACATTTTAAAAATTTTTTCTTTCATTTTCTTTTTGAGAATAAAATTTTGTTTCAATTTTCTCTTTCTTCAACAATCTCAATAAGAAGCGAAAGGGAGAGTAAAAACAGTGAAGAAAAAAAAATTACAAAAACTAAATTGTAGGAAAAGAATTTTTCCAAAAAAAATTTTTCTTTGATTACAATATTATATTAAAAATTTTTGCCAGCTCATTTCTAATTTAAAGACGAATTTATTTTTGCATCATTTATATAATTTTCCATTTGTTTATACATTGTTTACGTTTTCTTCTAATTTTTTTTTTCATTTTTATATTCTTGTTTTTCCAATATTAATTTCGTTTTCCCTTGATTCTTGTTTCCTTTATATAAGACGATTAGAAAGACACTTATGTAACTTTAGAAATATGTACAATGTGTTAAAAAAAAAAATTGTACGTTCGATAAAATAAATAAGAATCTAAAAATTTATTTTTTTCTAAATTAAACATTTTTTCAAAAAAAAATTTTATAATTATAATAATTATTATAATATTATAATGTTATTAAAATTTATTAATATTAATTAATTTATTTATTAATTTATTTATTAATTAATTATTAATTTATTTAATGTTAATTTCCTCATTTATTTACTTTTATTTTTGCATTGATATAATTATCAATTAATTAGATGAAACAGGAATATTTAAAATTGTGTTTTTAAATTTGGCGCCTCTTCAATTTTTCAATAATGGCGCTGCTGTTCTTACAAGTTATTTTTCAATTGTTGGTACTACTGTAAGAATTCTTGTAAACCCCCCCCCAACTAGTTAGGTTTGAGAAAAAGTAAACTTGCCAGGGTTCAGTAGCTAAGAGTATTTTTTTTCTGGAACCGCACCAGAGTTGGGTAGATACAAAAAAAGCACATTTGTAATCTAACCAAGAATTGGTAGCTAAAGATAAATTTTTTTGTCCTAAAGTACACCAGAGATGGGTTGTTACAGGTTAAATTTTTTTTTACCAGAAATATTTAGCTACAAGTAAACTAATTTCTAACTACTGGTAAAAGTATAGAAAGTAATTTTTTTCAGAGGAAACCAGGGTTGGATTGTTAAGAGTTTTTTTTCTCAAAGCAGCATAGTTGGATAACCACAAGAAAGCAAATTTGTAATCTAACCAGAGTTCGGTAGCTAAGAGTAATTTTAACGCCAGAGTTGGGTCGTTGCAAATCAAATATTTTCTATTAAGAGAGTTGGGAAGCTACTGGTAGAAACAGAAAGCAACTTTTTCAGAGAAAACCAGGGTTGGATCGTTAAGAGATTTTTTTTTCCCCAAAGCAGCATAGTTGGGTAGTTACAAGAAAGCAAATTTGTAATCAAAGCAGAGTTCGGTAACTAAAGATAACTTTTTCCTTCTAAACTACGCCAGAGTTGGGTCGTTGCAAGTCAAATATTTTATACTACCCCACCAGAGTTGGGAAGCTAAAAGGAAACTAATTTGCAATCTCACCGCAGGGTTCAGTAGCTAAGAGAATGTTTTTCTTCAAAGTAAACCGAATAAATTTTTTTTCGCAGCAAATTTCCTGTGAAAAATCACATTAACTGCAATACACACGTTTCAATTTTTATTCAATTTTGCAAAAAAAAACACATTCTTTTACACCAATAAAGTAAAAGATTTTTAAAACAAATTCTCTGGAGAAAAATGTAGGTTATTTAAAGAAAAAAAAAAAAAAAATAAGAAAAGAGAAAAAGGATGATCACGTAAAGACTCAAGGGGGGAGGAGGCTCGTGACGTAAATTAAAAGCACAAATCGCCTGCGGCGCCTTCGAGGCTGATCCATCGACCAGAAGAGCATGTACGTGACGTTATTACTGGAATATATACCATTTGCAAAAAAAGGAAGACTGCCAATGACGTTACCCCATTCTTTTTTTCCTTACCAAATCAACTCATTTTTTCTGGTCGATGCACTTTTTTGAAATTACCATTTTTGAAAAAAAATGTTCAACCTTTCATTATTGCGTTATTTTTTCCTTTGCTTTTACACTACAATAGTTTAAAAAAAAAAAAAAAAAAACGTTTCACCAAATTTCTATATCTATTCAAACGAAAATAAAATTTGTTTCTGTTTTCATAAACAGACATAATCTCTATTTTTCGTTGGTATTTCTCTTTTTATTTAAAAATTTTAAAAAAAAAAACCAAGAACAATAGTTTTATTTTGTTTAAAAATTCATTTAATAAAAAATGCTGCTTTCTGAAAAACAAAAAAATTTTCTCTTTGGTTTTATGAGAAACGTGATTTTAACGGAAAATAATGAAAATTTTCATGAAACTATATATATATATATATATAAGCAAAGAACATGGTTTGTGTTTGTAAAATAATAGAATGTTCTCTACTTTGTCCTTTGCTTTGTACAATCATTATACATACACGTTTAACATTGTTCTGGGAGAAGGAGGAGATTTACTTTTTTTTTCTTTTTTTTTTGGGAATAGTACACGCGCGAGAGTCAGTGTCAAAGTAACCGGCATATTTCACGCAGCAGCGTTTCCAACTGAAGTTTCCCGTTTCGAATATCAAAGTGGCCACTGAACCGTCATTCGCTTATAACTCTTCAAAGTTTCCGTTTTCTCAAACAGGCGTCAAAAGGTTCTTATATTGAAATTCTAACACACCACCGCCCCTGTAACACATATATAATCAAAGAACGAATCATGAACGAATTTAGAACTGTCGAGTGATTTTAATATTCCAAAATTTTGACCTAAATAAAATTTTTTCCTCTATTACATCCTTTAGCAATTTTTTTTTTTTTCAAATATTTTTCCGATATTTACATTTATTTTATTTTTACTAATTTTTAATTCCCTTTTAATGAACATAATATTATATATGTAGATGTATATATAAATAGCGAGAGAGAGAGAGAGAGAGAGAGAGAGAGAGAGAGAGAGAGAGAGAGGGGAAACGGAATTAATTTTCAGTGAAACTCTTTAAAAAGTTTGGAATCAACAGTAATTACAAAAAATATATAATATAATCTTGTAAGCTTAAAGCATTTTATTTCACAGAATCAAAGGAGATTTTTTAATTTGAAATGAAATTGTTAAAAGAAGATTTTGATGGAAGTGCAGCGTATTACTTTTATAAAAGACAATTAAAAATAAAAATTGTTTTATATTGTTGTAAATATTTATATTTTTTCAAAGAGAAATAAATTTTTCTACGAGAAACGTTTATTAAAAATTCTTTTTTTTCCACCCCCTTTTGGTTCAAATATTTTATTATTTAATAAATATGAATTTTTTTTCCCCCTTCTTTATTGTAAGCGCAAAAAAGATTCTCGAAGATTTATTATTTTTTCATTATATAGGATATTTTTTTTTTTTATTTTCTTTCTATACTTTTTCCCATCTGAATGAAGTGATTAGGTTATGTCACAAGTCTAAATACCTAAGAAGAGAAACTTTTGCGCATTGTTATGCGCAACTGACTTCAGTTGTCTTTAGGCGGGAAATTTAAAACGACAAACAATAAAATACTGTTAAAATATTGTTTGAAAGTAACTTTTTTTTATACTTTTCTTTCTAAATCAAAAAATAAATAAATATTTACAAAATAGATTTTTATAGTATAAAATAATTTTTTTTTACAATTCGATAAGAAATGTTTGTTTTTTTTTTTGGTTCTTAGACACTTCATTTTTATGATAAAAGAATATTTCTATTTTTTACAATGTGAAGTGGCGTAAACCAAAGGGGTTGAAGAGTGAAACGAATCGAGCGAAAGAAAGAGAGAGGGAGAGAGAGAGAGAGAAAAAAAAAAGTAACCCAGAAATTCATTTACTTTCGCTGGCAAATACACATCTCATTACACATTCATGCTCGATGGAGAGACGTCGGCAAGCGGTGCCAAGCCAAGTTAGTTTTGACGCTGAATACAGAGCCGCTCGCGAATCCCCAGGATAAGTCGTCGCAACATGAGAGAAACTTTCCATGAAATTTTCATAAATTTGTCCCATCGAGTTAACCGCGTCCCGCAAAACTTGGGTCGATGCGACAACGATGCCTTCTTTCTCATTCTCTCTCTCTCTCTCTCTCTCTCTCTCTCTCTCTCTCTCTCTCTCTCTCTCTCTCTCTCTCTCTCTCTCTCTCTTCTTATACACAGTGTCTCTATTGCATTTTTATATCATCCCTTGTTGCAAATATTTTTTTTTCAATTTTTTTCTTCCTTTTACAAGATCTTTTCTTTTCTTTAACCCCCTGCCACATCACGATGGTGCTGCTTTCGCTCGTGACTACGAATAATAGATGGAAACTACTTTTACAGGACGAGTAATGTACCCGCAGTGTTTGTGCGAATGAAGCGTCCCGTGCGAAATAATAATAATAATAATGACTCGATCGCGCGCAACTACGACGTACCTTGGCGTTCCTTGAAATTGCACACTTTCTCAAGGGAGGAAAAAAAGCACCAAGATAGAAAGAAAGAAAAAAATAAATTTGTTGTGAAAGCACCTTTAATTATAAAGAAATTTGTTGTAAAAACACTTTTAATTATAAAGAAATTTGTTGTGAAAGCATCCTTAAATTATAAAGAAATTTGTTTGTAAAAGCAACTTTAATTATAAAGAAATTTGTTGTGAAAGTACCCTTAAATTATAAAGAAATTTGGCGTGAAAACACCTTTAATTATAAAAAAAATTGTTGTGAAAACACCTTTAAATATAAAAAAATTGTTTTGAAAACACCCTTAAATTATAAAGAAATTTAGTGTGAAATCTCCTTTAAGGGGTTAGGGGTAGTCAGAGGCACGAAAAAATGAGAATTTTCAGTATTTTTTTTTGCTATTAAATAATTTTATTTTACAAAAGTAGTAATATGGTATTATTAAACAATGTTTTGACTTGAAGTCACGAAAATTTAAAAAAAAAAAAATTTTTATTTCCGAAGTTACAGCTGTTTGTGTTAACCCAGTTCCAAAAAAAGGTCCTTGCGGTGACAATCATAAGTCCTTGGAGATTAATCAGAAATCAATCGGATAAAAAAAATTAGTTTTATAAATAAATAATCCTGGGCCTGATCGAAGGATTTTTTTTTTTCAAAAATTAACAAAATGGCGGCCTCAGGAAATTTTTGTCTAGATTTTTGGGAAAAAATCAACATTTAATTGGTCTTAAAAAATCGAAATTTTTCAAAAAAAAAAAATCCTTCGATCAGGCCCGAGTTTATTATGTATTCTAAAAGCTGTATAAATTTCATTAAAATCGACTGAGCGGTTTTCGAGTTATAGTTGTCACCAGTTCAAAAAACATAGTTTTGAGAAAAACGCGTTTAGTTTCACACTAGATTTACGTACAAAAAAACGAATTATTAAATTACTTACACCGAGTCATCTATTCCTGGGCCATATTAATTTAGGTACTACTACATATACCCAAGTCTAAGTTCATCGATGACAATAGAACCCTAAAAGCCGA